ATTGCAGATCTGCAGGTGGTTTCCTGTTTCCCCAAAAGAAATTCCATTTGCCCAGCGTTTGGGGTCCCTACCGCATGGTGGGGATGAGCCATCACAGCTCGTTTCCTGGTGAGGGATGAGGACCTCAGTAGCACGCTGAGTGATCTTAGGGACACCTAGGGACAACATTAGGTGGGGTGTGCAATGATTATGGGGTGGGAAACGACTATGGGATGGGAAACTGGTCCCTGTCCTTCTTCCCGCCCATAGGCTGCACTTCCTGCTGCTTGCCCTCACTTCTGGTTCCACTCCCTCTCCCCTACTTTAAATGTGCTTCTTCTCTCTGCCTTCCTAGCCCCTGAATCCCACCCCTGTAAGAACTCGCCATGCCTTTCCCTGACCACAGCAATCACTCCCTCAAACTCCCATCTCACGGCCTGTCGCTCTCACTCCTTGGTCTCTTCATATTCCGACTGCTTGTTTTTTTCTCCTACAAAGGAAAATCATAAGATCCAAGAAGGAGGCCCCTTGTGATGTTGCTTTATCATAACCCCCAGGATGCTTTGGCACGAGGCTTTGCCCGTTGACTGTTTCTATGCCCACCATGCAGTGACCCAGTCATCGATGTCCTCCTCGATCGCCATGGCCCCTGGTGTCAGACAACTAGCAGTTTCAATCTCAGTGGTTACATCACTTATGGACCTTGGATAAGTCCCTTCCTCGTGTGTAAGACAGAACAACAGGGTGCCCAACTTGGGGGTTATTGTGAGGATCAGATTCTGTCCATCAAAGCCCTGCAAAGAGGAAGAAGTCAAATGTTGTCCTTGGAATCAGAATTTGGTTTTTAGTTCCACTGTCATCAAAAAGGCTGCTTGGGATCCTGGGATTCTGGTCTCTTAGATCACACTTTGGAATTTACATATGACATTCCGACTGGAGAAATGTAGATCAAAGGTGATCTGGGTTCCGTGAAAGAGGAAGTAGGGCATCGCTGCCAGTTTGGGGTGATGGGTCATTCACACCACACAGTACTCCCTCGTGCAGCCTAACACCTTCACTTCTCCTCCTCACTCTGAGCAATGGGGCGCCACTTAGAATAATGGGATAAGAAGCTTTGTGCATCATGGCTTTGGAAGCAACCTTTGTAGTTGGTGGGGGGCAGTTCCCAGTCCTCAGTGAAGCCACATGGGTTGGTAGAAGCAGCATGGATCAAGTTCTGGCTTAACGGCTCCTGAGCTGGGCACCTTAGGACAAGTTCCTTGGCCTCCCTGAATCTTGGTTTCATCCAATCTAACCTGGCGGTGATGGGATTCGCTGTTTGTCACCCAAGCTGATGTTGTTTTGCAACTGAAATGGAAATCAAACTGGGAGCTCTGGCCACCCACGCAGAGATCTGAGATTAACTGGGGCAAAGGGCTGATGAGGTGGAGGAGCCAAGGCCAGAGGGATTTATGGGACCCAGGGTTTATGGTTTTGATATGGGTTTATTAAGCAGAGTCTGGGACTGTGGTAGCCTCCGCTGGCCCCCAGCCCCCAGGTCCATGCTGGCAGACACATGGACAAGGCTTGTGTTGCAACACTATGGAAAACATTTCCTGGAGCTCTGGAAGGGAGGGAAGGGACAGGAGAAGGTGGGAGTGGCCTCGGGGAGCTGCAGGCAGCTCACAGGTGCTCTTGAGGCTGGAGAAATTGATGATTGTATCTCATTAGAAAGGATCTGGATGGAGGGTTCACACTGAGCCCCTGGTGGTGGGCACCTCGCACCCAAGAGCTCTTCCACTTACTCTGGTCTCGTTCATTTTAATCCTGACAACACTCCCAGAGGGAAGCATCATTTCCGGTTTCCAGATGAGGCTCGGAGAAGTGGAGTTACACTGATCTGTGACTCCTAGGCCCAGAACTGTTGTCACCTCCCTTGGGGAAGCTGAAAAGGGTTGTCCTGCTCCACTCTCATCCTTGAGTGACTTCACACCTGGGCCTCTGGACTCCGGCCACCCCACAAGCCCTATCCCCCATCCCTGAATGCCATGGCGTGCTGGTGATGTGTAGCAACTGCTCCCCAGGGGCAAAGCCTTGATCTGTAGCTCTTGCCTGTACCTGTCTCACCGTTACCATCCATGTCACACTGCCAAACGTGAAGTTGGGAAGAGAAGCTCTGTAGGACACACCCCCGAGGGAACATGAGGCTGGGATGTGTGGGGGGTCACGACACAAGCCCACCCACCTAGTGTACCAGGGGAGAGGGCCAAAGTGGCCACAGACCTGGCTAGAAATTCTCAGGTGCGTCCTTGCCTTTATTCTTTTTTAAAACAGCATTTGTCTTTATGAAATTTCCTCATGCCTACTCATGCCTTGTGGCCAGCCTCTGACCCAGGTCCCTGGCAAGGACCCAGAATTAGGCTCCATCTCGGACCCTGTTGCCAAACCCCCAGATCTTTCCATCACTCTCCCACCACATCCCTCCCCTCTTCCAGAGGGAGAACTGACTGTCACTCTCACTACATAGTGAACACTTGGAAATGGGGATCAGAGTTACAGTCCCACTTCTACCTCTGCCCTGAGCCTCAGTTTTCCCAGCTCTAAATGGGGGGCAGGGGGCAGGGATAATAATGTCTAACTTGCTTACTTACCTCTTGATGTGAGATTGAAAAGCAATATAAAAGCATTTTCCCACCATAAAGGACCATCTGGCTCTTCTCATTCTTATTTCTAACACCTGACAAGGAAAGAAAGGACACCCATCCAAGGACTTAGAAAACATATGTGCCATTTATTTTGCTTTATAAACTTTTGTTAAAACACACAAGAGTAAGAAATGGTTTTTTGCTTCTTTGCCCCATTGGGCAGCAGTGACGGGCTTGGGGGTTAGCACGGGGGCGGGTGGTTTTCACACCCACAGGAAGCAGCCTGCTTCCAGAATTGCTTGGTGTGAATTTCACAATTCAACCCGTTCAGGGAAATTTACGGAACAACTTGGCAAAAGTAATTGGCTTGGCCATTACAAAAGATCCAGGAGCATCCATCTCTGACCCTCTCCTCTGTCCATGCTGCAGGGAGTCCTGTGGGTTCTGGAAGCTCCTGAGAGCTGCCCTGGGAAAAGGCTCTCAGGGGAGGAACTGGAGGGTCCATGCTTGCCCTCCGAACCCTTGTTTCATTCTCCAGATTTTATATTTTAGGACTAGAACTCAGGTGGCAAAGAGAGAGAGAAAGATCTTGAAATGCCATGTCCTCAGAGTCAGAAAAGTCAACTGCTCTTTGTTGTGGGCTTCCTGCATTCCAATAAAATTATTAAAATAGAACGGATTTCTCCTCCAGGAAGGGGTAATTTTGGATTGAGGACTGAGCCCCTGACCCAGAAGGCTGCCACTATTAAAAGCCACTGCTAACCCAATTCATCCTGTGGAAAATTCCTATCTCAACTTCGTCCCCGTGACTGAGGCCTGAGCACCAGTGGGGGACTGGAGGAGCAAAGGGTGGGGATGGCAACAAAGACAGAAAGATTCCAGCCTCCCTGCCTGACCCCAGATGAGTCTGGGTTCCCTGACCGGGATTTCTGCGGACTCAGAATGAGGGATGGCTGGGGAAGGCTTGAGGGCTCTGAGCAGGGGACAGTCTCTCCTGGGACCGGGGAACATGGCTTGGTGGCATGGGCAGGCCACTCCTGGGACCACTGGAGATGTAAAGGTTTCTCTTGGACATACTGCCCTCAAACGCCTCATGCCTGCATCACAAAAAGCGATCACTAAGGATGGAATTTGGGGGTGCTGGGGTCCTACCCCCGTCCACTCAGAAGGGTCAGCCTGGGGTGGGGACTGGTGGCCAGTCTAACTCTCCTACCTAAGCACAGCTCCAGCCCCCAGGACACATCTCTTTTGTTCCCACTGGCTAGTGGCATTTTCCAGAATTTTCCCAAAGCTACCAAAATTTCCATGGATGATATGCTGGCTGTTCCATTCTGGGGCTTAATGCTTCCAGAGCAGCGCTCAAACCCAGGCCTTCCCATGTCTCCCTGGCCCAAAATACCCCACTCCTGGACCACCAGGCCACACTGGTCCATCTCCTAAGAACCAGACCCCTGACACCCCTACCCCAGACTTGGGGGGTGAGGAGAGGAAAGGGGTCCAAGAGTTATGAATTTTCCTGTTCTTCAGCAGACAGGATGCTGGGCCCCAACTGGACATTCGTGAAACTCCAAGATAGCCTTAATCCTAGGCATGGGCAGGGCCCCTGGGACAAATAAAACTTCAGCTTCTGAGGCTGATGATGGGGGCAGGAAGTCCCTCCACTGGATCACAGTGAGGACAGAGGCGCCCTTTCAGAGACGCTCGGCACCCTGGTCAAGAACTCCTGCTCTGATCCAGGCAGACCTGGGATCCAATCCTGACTTGGCCACTTACTAGCAGTGTGAGTTCCAGAAAAATCACTCAACCACTCAGATCTCAATTTCGTCTTCTGGAACAGTCTCTGGGATGCAAGGAGGTGATGTGTGTCAAGTGCCTTAACACAGCACCAGAAACGAGGCAGAGTTTGAGACAAGCCCTGGAGAAGGGGGTCATTCCTCCCTGATGTCCTTCTGAGCTGGGCTCGAACCCAGCCATCTTTGTCTCCAGGTCGCCTTGTCCTCACCTGGATCATGTCCTCAGCCCTTATCTGACCTCCCCGCTCCCTCCCGACCCACTGTGCCTCCACCCTGGCTTCTCCCAAACCTCAGTGCCTCAGTCCTGGCATTTAAGACCCCTATGCTGCTCCAGACAGCCTGGTCTTTCCATCGCCTCCCTCCCATGCCCTTCTTCCGACCTGGGGCCCTTTCTCACCTGCTCCACCAGCTGGAATCCTGCCCTTCCATAAAGGCCTACTGCAGAGTCTGCCCCTTTCCCAGAGCTTTCTCTGACCACCTCAGCCTTTCCAAGTTTCTGTTGCAACTGTCCACCATGGCTTGTCCTCTTGTGGTGGACAGCCTGTGGGGAGCACCACCCCCTGTACCCACCTGATTCTCTGAGGAGAGCCACAGGTTAGAGATGGAAGGGTGTCCCCCTTCTCACCAGTTTCCCACACTGTGCCTAGCCCAGCTGGAGCTTTTAAAATGCTCCCGGAATGACTGGGGGATTGCGTGCGAGTTTCCTTCAGCCTCTGGAGAGGTGGCTGTGGAGGAATTAGGATGGCTGAGGAAGGTAACAGTGGCAGGTGGAGAGGTTGGAGGTTGGGGTAGCAGAACAGGGAGAGGTCAGATGCCCCAATCCGACCCAGCCTTGAAGGGCTCTGTGTCTGGGTACTAGGGCAGTACTTGGAGAAAGAAGTATCCATCTGAAGGGGAAGGGAACTATGTTGAAGCAAGGTCCCGTGTTGTCTCCAGACAGCTGTCCTTTGGGGCTGAAGAAGTAGGGGGCAAGTATGATGAAGGGGAAGGCAGTGGCTTCGGCAAGAGAAGAGTTGTCCAAGGCAGCAGAGGATTTCCCAGCTGGGGCCTCCCCAAGTCAGAGCCCCGTCATCCAGAGCAGGGGGCGGAGGGTAGCAACGGGCTATGGCCCAGAGCCCAAGTTCTTGGTCCCCTTGCCCTTTCCACTGCTGCCCTGAGACTGGCCTTGTTGTCATGGCTTCCTTCACTGTGAACAAGTGACCACCGGGGCTCTCTGAGGGGGCTGGGGGGCCGGCAGAGCCCCCGACCCCCAACGGCTTGCTAGATGACTTCCTGCTTGGTGATGGTTGGCTGTGGGATGGCGGAGGGGGGCTTGACGATGGTGGCGATCGCTCCTGGCAGGAGCTTGTAGGGCTCAGACCCCGAGCCACCTGGTGGTGAGGGCTGTGGAGTCTCAGGGGTGGCTGGAAGGACAGAGAGACAGACAGAGGCTACTGAGAATTTCAAGCTTTTGGGGAATAACCAGAGTCCTAGGAAGGTTCTTCCCCCTCTCTGAATTATTTTTCTCTTCTAGAAAATGAGAGAATTAAACTAGACAATCTCTAAGGTTTCCTACAGCTCAAACCTTGAGTCCCTGATCTTGATGTCTAAGTCTGGTAAGGTCTGGAAGGCTATGGCTGGGCCAGTTGTGTCCAGAGGCTCCTGCCCAGGTTCTACCAACCCCCATCTCCTCCACCATTTAACATGGAGATCTGGGCTGCTTCTTCCAAACCAGGACCCAGCTCTAACTCTCTTCAAGAACAGTGGGACATGTGACAGCAATATCCTTTCTTGGAGACAAAGAGGAGCAGCTGATGAGACCTAAGTGTCTGGCCAACTAACTTCAAAAATACCATTTCTTTAATATTTAGGAAGATGAATAATGGAAACTAATTGGCCTCACAGCGTCGCCTATTTGAAAGTTAACTTTGACCATGACCCACTTGGCCAACTTTATTCGAAGAACAAGTTTCCCAAAGAACAATCTCCATGAAATGCAATCTCATTTTAGTGGACCACCTCATCCCGATGATAATCTTACTTTTGAAGAACTTTGTCCAATGACAAACTCACTCATGTAAGATTTCACCTCAGGGAACCGTCTAGACTAGTGGACATCCCACCCAATGAGGAGTCTCACCCAACGGTCTAATGGATACTCTTACCTAATTGAGCAGTACTTCAAGAACAATTTTACCTAATAGGCAACATCATAATGGAATTCTTATCCCTGTGGACATGTCCACCCAATGGATCCCTCATCCCAAGGACAGCTTCATTCAACAGAGGCTGTTAATTAACTCACTGAATAAATGGCCTCAGTGAAAAAACAGCCTTAACGAATGAGTAATCTCACTCCTCATTCCATACCCTAGAGCACAGAGAACCGTAATATCCCAGTTCCCATCTTCTGGACCCACCCCTCTTGGCTCCCATTTCTGGTCCCAACCTCATTCCTTGCTGAGTAGAGCTCAAGCTGCTCACCTGCCTGTGCCCTGGGTCGGGGCCACTCACACATCTGTCCATTGCTGAGGTGAGAGGGCATCGTGTTGGCAACAATGACGTTCGTGCCCATGTGTTCCTGCATCAGATGTGGGTGCAGGGGGTGGTGGGCATGAGGTGCATCACTGGAGGACCCTACAGGTAGAGAGGGGCTCAGTCAGGATGGGGGGGTCCAAGATAAAGACCACGGACCTCGTGGTACACCTTCCTCAAGTGTGGTCAATCAACCCATTCGCCCAGTATTGACAATGCCTGTTGGCTACCGATTTCTGGGTGAGTAAACTGGGGCTTACCATTCCTATCTATAGGTCCTACGAGGTTCTTAAGAGGATCCAACAAACCAAAAGAACAAAAGTTAAAAGAAAGAAGGAGCATATAAGGAAGCTATGAGTGTAGTCACTGAATAGGAACACAGTGGATTTAACCAATGGTTCTCAAGCTCCATGGCATGCCAAGTCCTTCCATTTGGTGCCAACTCACCTGTAGCCTTGTCCCCCCAACACCTCTGCTTCAGCCAAACTAACTTACTGATAGCACCTAAGTGCTCCCTGTACTTCCCTAGCTCTGCTTTTACACATATATTTCCAAGAGAAATGCTTTCTCCACACCCCCCGATGTCCACCAGTCCAAATTCCAGCTCAGGTAATTCCACCTTTGGGAAGCTTCTCCTGATTCTCCACTCCCCAGTAGGAAATAAACCTCTCTTTCCTTGGAATTCCTATAGGAATTTATCTGCAACCCATCTTTTGGGAACATCTACTTTTCTGTCCATGAGCATTACAATTACAGCTATATTTTTCTCCTTTTTGAGGGCCTAGCAAAATGTCTAGAACACAGTAACTGCTTCAAAAAAACATGTCAGAATGATAATACCATATAAGATACTGACCATGGCAGTGGTCACTGGTGTGCCATGATGAGACTTGAGGGATGGCAAGAGTCCTCTAAATTGACAGCTATCAGTTACTGAGCATCTAATATGTGCCAGGTACTGTTCTACATACTTTTCATGTCAAAATAACTGAATCCTCTCAACAGTCCTCTAACGTGGGTTATCCCATTCCCATTCTACAGATGAGATTACAGGGCCTGGACAGATTAATTACTTTACCCAAGTTTATCTAGCAACAGAGCACAAGCTCCATCCTGATCCTCCCCTGCCTTTTTCAAAAGATTTTAGTTTTAAGTAATCTCTGCACCCAACCTGGGGCTCAAACTCACGACCCTGAGATCAAGATTCGCACACTCTTCTGACTGAGCAGGCCAGGCACCCAAGTTCTGATCTTGATCTCAGCGACACTTAATTCATAATTCATAATTCACAGGGTCAAAGTGAGAATGAAATGAGTTCATAGTTCTCAACTGGGAGAGATTTGGGGCCCTCTGGACACATTTGACAGTATCTGAAGACATTATGGCTGTCACTCCTATAGGAGTACTATCAGAATCTTATGGGTAGAGGCCAGGGATGTGGCTAAACAGTGTACACAAGAACCCCCACAAAAAAAGATTATCCAGTCCCAACTATGTGCCAAGGTGGCCCTTAGCACACCATCACCCATGACCGTGTCGCCTCCCAAATCCTAACTAAGTTCAAGTGCCCTCACTTAGATCCCGACTCCTATCCTACCAGCCCACTTGACGAGGGCTATCGCTGCAAAATTCTCTCACCCCACTACAGCTGACCAGGCACTGATCCCCACTTCTTAGTCTCTATCACCACAGCCCCTAATTGCTGGAGTACCACGGAGCTGCTTCCACCCTGAGCTTTGAACTCATGCTCGAGCAACAGACTCAAACATGAAACTGCCTCCTGATAACACACCCCGCCCCGCACATGTCTACGGTCATCTCGAGCTTCGCTAAGTATAAATGGTTTCTTGGTTCGTCTCCACGGCCACCATCATTTCAGCCTCAACCTGTTTTCCCTCCATCTTCCTCATTTCAATAAGTTACTCCAGGAGCATCTCTGTCACTCAAAGCAAAAATGTGGGTTTCATCCTTGATTCTTCCCATCCCCCCACCCCCACCCCAACCACACAGCTGATCAATCAACAAATCCGCACTGATGGTCCAGTTTATCCAGTCACACCTTCGCCCCAGCCTCCACTGTCCTATCCCCACCTGGTGACAGTAACATTCTCAGGGGTCTCCTGCCTCTCCTGTGCTCCCCTGATATCATTCCCTTTCTACCTAACATTCAGAGTCGTTTGTTAAAAACAGTAGTCTGATTTGCACTCTTCTTACCCAAGCTGCAATGAAAATGAAATCCAGATTTCTGACCATGACCTACAAGACCGTATGCTCACCATTTGGTGTCTGCCCCTCACCTACTTCATCTCGGGCAACCCCTCCCTCCCCCATCTCACGACCTTATTCTTTCTGGACCAGACGGACATCCCCCACCTCAGGGTTTCTGCAGGAGTTACTCCTGCCTGGAACACTTTTCTCTTGGCTTTTAAATGTTGGATTTTCTTTCATCCATTGGGTCTTAGCCAAAAAAGTCCCCGCTTTTGGAGAACAGGGAAGGAGGAGGTGGCGGAGCTGGGAGGTGAGCTAGGTGTGAGGCCCGATCTCTGGCCAGAGAGCCCCGCCCACCTCTCCGCCCCTCCTGGGCCTGGCACGGACCTCCCAGCAGCATCTCCTGCAGCAGGTTGTCGATCTTGGCCATGCCGAAGAGCTTGATGAACTGGATCTGCTCGATCATCTGCCAGGTGATGCTCTGCAGGGTGGGCAGGAGCAGCAGCAGCTCGCCGAAGCGGCCACGGGAGTCGTACTGACGGTCGTTGATGTAGTCCTCCAGGCTCACCTGTACCTGCGAGCGCAGCCGCTTGATCTTGCCTGGGTCGCTCAGCCCCTTGGCATCTGCAATGGGAGGGCAGGGGTCGAGGGCCCGGCTGGAGCATCTGGAGAGCCAGGCCCCAGATCTCCCCTAACTCCTGAGGCCCTGATGCGGGGGCAGGGGGAGGGCCCAGTGGCCCAAGGTCACTTGCAGCGTCCTTAGCAGTGCTGGGACCAGGATTCAGGGTCCTCAAGAACCGGGGTTCACTAGCGCATTTATAGCTTCCTGGACGCAGGCAGAAAAGCATTTATGTTACATTTCCTGAGGTACAGAACTGGGAGATGGGGCGTGGCAGAGGACAGGTGGGTTGGACTCTAGAAGCATACCGAAGAGGGCACCTAACAGCCTCCTCACTACACGTGGGGAAAACGAGACAGGGAGCAAGGAAAGGACTTGGTCCAGGTCACACATCCAGCTTTTGGCAGATCCATGATGGGGACTTGGGGCTCTGGGTCACAGCTGAGGTCCCACTGACCAGACCTCAGCACACACTGCTTCCCTTAGAAGAGTCTCCCCACTTCCTTCCCCCCTTGCCTGTGTCATCCTGGGGTCTCAGTTTAGGCCTCACCTCCTCCAGGAACCCTTCTCTGTTCCACCCTCCCAAGCCTGCTTTTTGAGTGTCCATCATGTCCCCCATTTCTGCGGTTCTTCTGTCACTACTGGCCGCACAGGATGCAACTGTCTCTTCCAGTAGATTATGAGCTCTGGACGGGCAGGCATGTCCTGTTTGTCATTTTAAACCCAACACCTAGCACCATGAGTTCAATATTTGTTGAACAGATAACTAGATGAGGGGATGGTTCGATGGATGGAGGGATGAGTGAATTCAGAAAAAAATCAAGAGATAAATTCTAGAGCCTAAACCTAGAAGGGGGTTCAAGTGATTGTCCAACAGTTAAACTCAACCTTTATGGCAATCATCCATTTATTTCCTCTTTTATAGACAAAGTGATTGGCAGAAAGAGAATTTCACCCATACTTCCGGTCCAGGGCTCACTCCACCGAGCCACATTTGTGCCTGCCTTCATTCAGTCAACAAACATTTATGGAGCATCCCCTCCATGCCAGGCCCTATACTGGCTCACCCGCCCCTCTGAGCCAGGTTGCTGACCCTGACTCGGAATCAGTAATTCTCCCCATTTTCTTGAGCGACTACCATCTGCCCAGCTCCATGCTGAGCACTGTCGGGGGGTACAGCCTGGGCCAGGCTCTCAGGGCAACTAGAACCAGAACTCTTACTCTTTAAGAAATGGAAATGATGTGTGGTAGGTAAGCATACAGACTTGAGAGCTATAAAAATTAATCAGTCTCCCTGTGTCTCAGTTTTTTATCTGCAAAATGGGGATAGTAACCATTCCTACCTCATCAGTACTGCATTATAAGTCATAAGTGACTAATCCACATAAAGTATTTAGAATGATGTCCTAGTGAGGGTTCCACAAACTATGGTCATCTCCCTCTTCATTACTATTATTATTGGAGGTGATCTCCTCCATGGAGTCTAGCACTAAGAGCAGTGCCGGGCATGCAACAGGTCCCCTGTAACGTGTGAGGAGGGAGGGAAGCAAGCAAGGGCTTTGGAGTCCAGGAATCTTGATATTGTGAAATGAAATCAGGCTTTGCATAAAGACATAGCTACAAAGTATTCTATAAAAATGCATGTGGAAAGTCAGTAGAGGGAATGCGGAAGAGGAAAGGCAAGGGCATATAAAGATAATTAGCAGAGACACTAAAATCACAGTGAAAATGAGGGAAGAAGATGGGAGCAGTGACAGAGGAAAGCAAAAGCCTCAACCAAGACAAGAGGGAAAATACGACCGAAAATAGCTAAATCAAGAAAGAGCCAGAAGAAACAGTTAAAAGACTCAGAAATGGCTCCCCTGGGGAAAATGGGCTTTCGTGGGGAAAGTGGGGTACATTTTAAGTAGGTGCAGATACTGTTTTGATCAGCATTTTTGAGGGAAAGAAGAAAAGGTGAAAGGAAAGAAAAGAAGGAAGATAGGAGGTCAGAAAAGGAAGGAGAGAGGAGAGGACAGAAGGGAAAGGGGGAAAAGAACAGAACGAAGCCTCTGGGGTCCATGTGTCTCGTCGAGTCACGTCAACCCTCTGAACGCGGGTCTCTTTCTCATCTGTTAAAGAGCTCATGCAACGGCCTTAGCCCATTGCTATACGGAAGAGTGAGGGTGTGAATGCAGGGTCCATGAACCAGTAAAAGAAGTATGCTGGAGCTTCGGGGGTGGGTGGGGGGCGTGGACTGTACCTGGATCAAAGAAGATGATGGCTTTGAGGCAGGCGTACTCATTGTCGTCGATCTGTAGCTCCTGGAAGGGCAGTACCAGCTCATCGAGGATGCGCATGGACACCCGACTCATCTCTGCCAGCTCCGGGCAGTGCCGAGGGACGATGTAGTCATTGCCTGGGTGGGTGGGAAGGAGAGGGGATGCGAATACTACCTTGGGGGTACCCTTCTCCCCAACTTTGGACAGGCCTTGCCTTCCGCAGTTGCAATCCAACTGGTGCCCACGGGACAGGGCCCCATGGGGATTGTTATGCCCATTTTACAGATGAGGAAATGGAGGCCCAGAGGAAAGGAATGAGTTGCTTGAAGTCACTGGAGTGGGTCTGGAGCCTGGCTTTCTAGGACCCTTTCACACCACCCATCACGTTCTCCAATATGACCCATTAGAGCAGCAACATTCAGGGTCCCCTTGGGAGGTACCAGTGCATCCAGGTGAAGGGCCCAGATTCTAGAATTAGACTGCCTGAGGTTGAAATCCAGTTCTACCGCTAACTAACCATATATATTTGGATAAATTACTTTCTGTGCCTCAGTTTTTTCCATCTGTAAAATGGGGATAAATAACAGAGCTTACCTCATAGGGTTGTTGTATTAAAGGAGTAATGTTTGCAAAGTACTCAGACTAGTATCTGGCCCATAGTGTCATGTGTATAAGCATTTAGAATAATACATAAACATGGCGTGGAAGCACAAGTGACACAGGCCGGGGGGCTATGCCATTCCTGGCGGCCTCCTGCTCCCGCTCCAGAAAGCACATCAGAGCGTATGGTTAATTCCATGCATAACCCCGACCGTGCTCTAACTTTAATGCTGGAGAACTTCCATTCCTTGATTCCTTGATTCCACATTTCCTTCCTGAGTGGAGGATCCAGTTGGGAACACTGGGAAACAGACATTCTTGATCTTTCTCCCTCGCCCCTGCATGCCACTTTGGAACTCTCCTGTGCCTGGATGCATTCCACCCCGGGCATGCCCTCCGCGGAGCCCCCGCTGGGGCAGGCAGCCTCCTTACCTAGAAGCAGAACGTCCTTGAACACCATGGATCGCTTGGTAGCTCCGAGCAGCAGGTGCTCACCAGCATGGGCTCTGAGCAGGGCCACCTGGAAAAGAGAAGGGATGATGTCTGGCAGCTGCACCCCTGGGAAGGTGTCTGTACCCCCGGGAAGGTGCTCCTAGCCAATTCAGTGACCCTGAGCAAGTCGGCTTAATGCTTCCCTTGCCTTTACCTGCTATTGAATTAAACTATAAAATGGGTACCAGAAAACTTCTGCCTTCCTCCCATAACTGATAAAACCTGGAAAAGATTCAGCAGGAACCTGGAAGGGGACAGAACATGCACTCAGAGCTGGGAGGCCAAATGATGACTTTATCTTTGAACTGCTGTGTCCTTGGGTGAGGTAAGCTGCCTCTTCCCTCTGGGCCTCATTTCTGTGCCTGATGAAACTTGACACCATTCTCAGTGTGTATGTGTGTATGTGTGTGTGTGTGTGTGTGTGTGTGTGTGTGTGTGTCTTCAGCAGAGGTTCAATGCCTTTCGTCAGACTTTCAGGAGGGTCTAGGAGCCAAAAAGTTCTAAAACTGTGGATTCTGAATTTCTACCCATGGGCCAACTGTAGAAGATTATGAAGAATACTTCATAAAATGCAGATTCTTAGGCCCTACTCCCAGAGATTCTGAGGTTGTATGCATAGGGGTGGGCCCAAGGATCTGCCTTTAACAAACTCCCCGGCTGATTCTGATGTGCAGTTGTGTCTCAGGAAATCACTGCTCTGGAAGATTTCCAGGACACCTGCTCTCTTGACATTGTAAGACTCTAGGGTTCTGAGAGTGAGTTCCAAGAGGCTGGACGTGGATGTTGGTTCCCAAGGCCAAGGTGTGAGCGCTGGTCCTTGGCACGGGATGAGCTTGACATGTTCCTTCCCTGCAGAGAAGACAAAGCAGCTTTGGCAGCCTGAAGTCCAGGGCAGGGACCCAGCCAGGAGGACATTGTCTGTCCTTTCCGGGCCATCGGCTTTGGGGATGGCATAGGGCCCAAAGGATGGCGAACACAGCAGCTGGTGAAAGTAGTAGCCAGCTGGAGGCCTCAAGGATCTTGTCTGCAAAGTTGGGTTGGGGAATTCTGAAGCTTTTTTAGCAGGCTAGGCTAGGAAGTAAAAATGCTTCTGTTCATTCATTCAGTCATCAAAAGTTAAGTGGCTAGTAAGTGACAGGCACTTCATAGGAAGGAAGGATGAGAGGGAGGGAGGAAGGGGAGTGAGAGTCATGTGATAAAGAGTGATGGGACAAGAGGGGCTACATTAGATGCAGAGGTCAGAGAAGTCACTCTAAGGAGATGGCGTTGTCTAGGGCATGGAAGGCCGCTGGCACATAACATACTAAACATTCAATAAGTATTTATTTGAATGAAGAAAGGAAGGAATGGGTGAATGAATGAATGAATGAATGGGCAAACTCGTGAACTCCCTCTCCAGATCATGCAGCGATCTGCCTTTCTTCATCTGTCCTCCCAGGGTTCCATCCTGGGAGGATGACAAGAAGGAGGAGAATGGCATTTGTCTTGCAGATGAGGGGCCACTTCCCATGACCAGGACAAGGGAAGCCAATCACCAGTGACTGTGCAGGGCTTTTGTCACTGACCCCGCACGGTGGCTCTCAAACCCAGGGACAGAAGCACCGGAAGGAACTCCCAGCCCCTGGCTGCCTTGCTCTGCAACCTGGTGCAGATCCCTTTCCCTCGCTAGACCTTGGCCCCTTTATTCGATGCTACCCAGCCTCCTAGGTGTCAATGGGTTGATGGCCAAAACAAATCAAGAAGTGAATAAACTTGGAAAGTGGTTCCTGGGGCAGCACTGATAGATCTGGGGTATCCTTTGGAGGACAGTGCCCCCCAATTCTCCCAGGTGTGTCCCAACTCTCTTGGGCAAGATGGGCTCCTTATACACCATGAATGGGGAGCTGGGAACCCTCCTGACATGGCGGCTATTCCTGGGGTGGGCAGGTGGCGTGGGGAGTGTTAATGATTGTCCTGTGTTGCTGGCCACCCATCACTGCTCTCTAAGAATGCTCTGAGCCCCAGCCAGGGCGATTTGGGTGGGAAATCGAGGTTAACAATTGCTCAGCTTGGGGGTATCTTATTGCCCTGTTGAGCCCCTGGGAAGGAACAGAAGGGATTAAACATTAATATAGACTCGCGAGCAGAGGGGACCAGGGCCAGCACACAAGGAACAGGGGAAAAGGCAGGGGCAGCTTGGCCAAGATCCCGGGCCTGTCATCCCTCCCAAAGCAGGGAAGGAACCACGAGACAGAGCATCCGACCCAGGCCCCAGTAGGAGAGTGAGAACCAGCCGAACCAGTGTTTCCACAGTGCACCCCACCTTAGGATACTAACAGGTGTTCTAAGAGTCTGGGGCTTCAGGGAGTCCGAGAGCCCTGGGTCCCACCGAGATCAGCAGCTTCCTTGCCTGAAGGACTTCTCGGAAACCTTCATAGACTACATGCATTGTCAGTATGTGGTGCAGATGTGCAGAACTGAGAAGCAATGCACCAGGAGCTGATGTCTGGGGCACCATCCAAGCTTCCCTCCAAGCTGAGAAGCTGACCCAGTCCGACAGTCCCTCCAGACAGGAGACCCCTAGGAGGTGCCTGGCCAGGAGCGATTGCTTGCAGTATCTCAGAAACTCATCTGTCCTCAGACGTGCACCCCGCTGCTCCAGCCTCTTCCCTGCCCCCACCCCCAGGACGGTGTTGGTATTCCAAAGAAGATACTTCGGGAAACAGAAAGCTCAATTAAACCATCTTGGTGGGATACAGGAATGAAAGTGATACTCAGGGAGGCCGGCTGTGGCCTGGGCCACGACGTTGGTGTTCCATTACATGAGTTAGGCCCTTCAAATGGTAATGTCCTTATTTTTTTTCTGAAGCCGATATTGTAATTCCCACTTTACAGATAAGAAAACTGAGACTCGGAGAGAGGGGGTCATTTGTCCCAGATCACACAGAGCACCAGTCTCTGAGCCGGGGCTCAAGCTCAGCTCTCAGGATCCCTGGCTCTGGGGCCCTGTCCGCATGCTCCTAGGAGAGCTGTCTGGTGCAGGAGTGCAGCGGCCAGGAGCCTGGACTTTGGAGCTTGCCTACCAAAGTACACCTGCATGCACAGTGTTCTAATCCCGGCTGTGCTGGATACTAGCTGTGTGGCCTTGAGCAAGTCACTTAGCCTCTCGGTGCCCCAACTGCATCACCTCTAAGATGGGAATGCTAACAGTACCTAACTCATAGGGCTGCTGGATGGATCAAATGAGTTAAGGTATGTACACTTATTTAAACAGCTCTGGGCACACATGAGCACTATGTGTGTTCCATTAAAGACAATCAAACCAAACCAAGACTATATCCCAGGGGGGCCAGCAGGACCCACCTGCCCAGTGTCGCCATTGCCCCCAGAGTGTTGGTGCTCACCTGGTCATCCAGAGGGAGCTCGCAGAAGGCAGGGATGTACTTGGCCCACTCAACGAGCACCAGCAGCTGCTCCTTCATGGACTCACACACATCAGCGATGCTGGCAATCTTTTTCGCTCGAATGTCTCCATTGATCCCAGAGACGGGGGAGGTGATCTGGGAGGAGTGAAGGACATGCTGGGGATGGTCAGGCCCTCCCTACTGTCTCTGCTCCCTGCACAGAGTGCCCCCCCGCCCAGACAGTTTCCGTGTCTGGAAAAGGGGAGATGGACTGTGGATGCCTTTCAGCTCAGGAGGGAGCTCGGGGGCAAAGGGAGAGAAGGAAGGATGCTGAAGAAGGCTGATATGAGGAAGGAGGCTCCCCCGAGCCTCCACTGGCAGCTTGCCCCCACTTCTTCCTCTGCCAGCTCCTCAGAACTCCAAAGAACCCTTCAGCTCAGGGCAAAAATCATCATTCTCACCTGACAGGTGAAAAAAACACAACTCAGAGAGGTGTTGTGACTTGCCCAAGGTCACACAGCAAGGAATGGGCTGAGCCCGTGTGCTAATCTGTCTAATTGTCCAATAATCTGTTCTCTTAGGGCTAAACTGATCTCAGGCCCTCACTGAAAGTCGACTCTGGTCCGCGGAATGCATGCAAAAGGATGAACTAGAAAGTGCCACAGAGGGCCAGACCTGGGTCCCAGTGGTGTCTTTGCTACAGAACTGGCTCAGTTTCCCTTCTGTGATATTCCAGGGCCCTTGATCCAGGGCCTGGCTGGGGAGGACATGGGTGGAGGTGAGAGTCCTCTTTGGTATGGGGGATCACCAGGTGGGTTAAGAGGGTCATCCTGATACCTGCTGGGACAGGACCTCAGCCTGCAGCAAAGCGTTGATGGAGGGCAGGCTGCTGTCTTCATAACTTGACCGCCGAGTGCTGATCCGGTCCCGCTCATTTTGCACAGCTGTGAGGAGGCACAGAGAGGTGAGGTGGGGGGACAGGGTTGGGGTGAAGGGGAGAGGGGTCCTGACTGCTGAGGAGCAGATGGGGTATGTGGGGAGAGAGTCTAACCCCAAAGGAGATACTGTAGGGCTGACTCGGAGTAAAGGAAACATGGTTGGAGGTGGAAGGAGGGGGGATCCGGGGGGCAGAACCTGGAGTAGCATGCGGGAATGAGGGCCGATGATTCCAGCCCAGCCTATGGAAGAACCTTCTAAGCACCAGAACTGCTCCCAACACAATGCGGTGCGGTGGAAGTGATCCCCTTGTCTCTGGGGGGATGCAACACAGTGATGCCTTGGCAGAGGGTTTGAGATGGGTCTTGCGTATTGATGATGGATCTATCTAGATGACAGATTTTTAATCCCTGATTTGGAAAAGGGTCCCTTTTATTCCAGATCAAAGTCCCTTTTTATTCCAGATCAAAGCTCAGGCTCAGGCCTCTTTGCTTCCGGCCTTACCCTGACTGTCTGGGCACCTGTCCGAGTCAACGGGATCTGCTACGACCCAACTCAGTCCCATCCCCACACCGCTCAAAACCGGTGACTCCCCATCTCACGCGGACTGAACGCCTCATGACGGCCCTTGGTCTCTAACCCCACACTGCCTGCCAAGCCGCCGCTGCCCCACGGCCTGGGATTCTGCCCCCCACAGCTTCGCTGCTGCTTTGCTTGGCGCCTGGCTCCGTGCACACGTCACCTTCTCAGAGACACCCACTTTGATCACCCTGCTGGCATGGAGCTCCCTCCCTCAGGCTCTGCCCCTCATTTCTCCTGCTTCCCTTCTCTTTGGGGGCCCTTACTCTACAATCTCTTGTTCATTCCCTTACTCTCTGTCTCTCGATGGGAAGGAAAGCTCCAGAAAGCTAGAACTCCGTTGCTGTTCACGGCTGTAGCCCCAGTGACTAGCATGGGGCTTGGCGCACAGTAGGTGCCCAAGAAATGTTGATTGAGCAAGTGAAGGAAGCTCTGATTTCTCAATGGAACGTCCATGGCCGCCATTCAACTTTCTCTTGATTTCAAACATGGCTGAAATCAGAGAATGAAAGCCAGACAGCATAGACCAAGCCCCGGCATGAGTGGGATAGGAAACCAGTCTCCAGGTCAGAAATCTCTCCTGACACCCACCACCCCGGCCAGAGCCAGCCCCTGGGGCCACTCCCCTGCACACGTGGCGGCCCTGCCCGAGGACACCCCTCCCAGCCTCAGCCGCCAGCGCCCGCCCGCACCCACCAGGGCGCCGATGGGAGGCGGGCCCAATAAAAGGGCTGCTGTCAGCAGCTGCGGATTGGGCTCCCCAAGGTTAGCCCATGTTATCAGTACCCAGCTCGAGCTCAGTCACGGAATGATGTTTTCCAAATGTTTGCTCAGTATTAGCAGGGTCGGGGACCTAATGTAACTCCTATTGAATATTAACCGACCTGGCCAGAGGAAGAGAGGAGGATGAGCCTGTCTTCCCAGAGAACCCCTGGACGGGGCCTATGGGGGGCTGGGCCAGGGTTCTGAGGAAGGGCCCATCAAAACGCCCCATGGCCCACCACCAGCCTGTACCTCCTGCACCCCCGGCCTGGCTTCCTGGGTGGGCTTCTGTCTAGGGGCTGGGCACTCGTCCTGGGTCTGCCAGCTGAGCCACAGTAGCCGTTGTCTCAGGTTATAGGACAGAATTCAAGACCTGCTGTCGGGCCCACTGACCCCCAGTTTTCTCCCCAGAGTATTTTCCCCTTCAGGGAACCCACTTTTGGCCACCATGGAACATGCTCTGGCCAAGGCTCACAGGCCTGTGGATTAGGAGCCCTTCCCTGTGGGCTAGGGAAGCTTCTAGATCAGAGATAATGCCCCCAGGCCAAGCACTCCCAGTTTCAGTTCAGGGAGCCTGGTGTGTGCCCAGCTCAGGGGAGCCTGCCTCCACCTGCTCACGTGGCCTGCCTGGCTTGAATTTCCCCATCTGTAAAGCAGGGAGGGGGTCGGTTTGGTGACCGCGCCTCCACCTGGCCAGTCCATCAATTCTTTTGGCAGTGCAGGCCTTCCTGTGGTCAGGGACCACTCCTGGGTTTCAATTCCTGAATCTTAAAGCTATCAGAGAAGAGAAATGAAAACTTGTCCCAACCCTCCTGATCACGGAGGCTTTGGCCAAGAATCTCTCTGGGCTTTGGGGACATCCCACCAGCTGGATGAGGGGTGTCGGGATGACAAGACTTTGGTAGAATGGGTAATACTTTTTCCTCCTGGAGCTTGACTGCCATGAGGACCAAACACCATGCCCCCTAGGCCTATTCTTGAAGCAACCACACGACTGTCAGTGTCACCATCTTCCAGTTAACCGAAACACACAAAGAGCACCAACACTGACTAGCTCGCTCACTTGCCATCAGCCAAGGCTCCCATCCTCCTGGCCGAAAGCCTCCTTCCCTGAGCTGAGAAGCCGGGGCTATTTTCGAGGCTAGCTAAGGCAGAATGGCCTGGGGCTCTCCCTCTCCCTCCAGGAACCAGGACACGGGACTGCTCCCTCCTTGGCAGCTCATACAGGGGACCAGGGAACAAACACACACGCCCCCAGGGGGACAGGCAGATCAGTGAGTGGGTGGCTGGACTCCCAGAGCTGGAAGGCATCGTTATCGCCACTCATTTTACAGATGGGAAAACCAGAGTCAGAAGAAATATTTCTCAAGTGACACATTAGTGATTCTGGATGTTTAGCAAGACATATAAGAGACCACAGGCAGGCACCAGGCCCTGTCCAGCCTAGGAAGGCTACCAATCCTTTTCCTGCCTGCCTGTCACAAGGCCTGAAATTTTACCATGAGAGCTTCATGCTCTCGAACCTGACACCTTAGGCTGTGGGGAACAAAGCCCCCAGCCATGAGAACCACAGAGCGCGAGGCCCCTAGACCTTACGCTCGTTTTTTTCCCTGCCTCCTGCTGCCCATGCGCAGGTTCTAGTCCTGTTTCTCACATTCCTCATTCCACAAAGTGGAGATGAGGAGGAGGAGGAGGAGGAGGAGAGGGACTTGGAGGAGAGGGACTCAACCCCACTGAAGACTGGGAAGTTGGGGGGTGGAGGGGGTTGCCCTTTGAAAAGGCCCCTCCCCCACCGGAACCCCCCTCCCCCCAAGAGCTGGATGCTACCATTGTGGAGTCGCAGCAGGAAGGGGCCTTGGAGCCAACTCAGTGCCTCACAGGGGTCAGCAGGTCCAAGTTCCCAACAGGACTCAGGAGCTCAAAGCAAGACCAGAGAGACCAGAGACCCTCCTTCACAGGCAGCTCGGGCAGGCTGGTCCCAGACTCCTGCCCTGGGCTGGGTATGTGTACAGGGTTAGGCCACGGGTCCGGCTGGTGTGCCACAGCTGCGGGTGAGGAGTGAGGGTCTGGTGCCCGAGCTGGGGAAGGTGAGCAGAGAGGAGCAGGAAATGAAGTAGTTAAAGGATTTCTGCTTCCTGAGCTCAGGCTATCCCTGAGATCTGGAGGTCATAAAGGAGGTGGCATCAGGTATCACCAGGCAGAACCCAACTCTAGTCTGAAGCATTGGGTGCAAAGCTGTGGGGCCTCAGGCAAGTTTTGGACCTGTTCTGGGCCTCAGTCCCCACATCCAGGAAAAGGGGGAGTGACAATGGTGCCAGCCACATAGGGTGCCACGTCACTCGTAGAAAAGCCCAGCCTGGTGCCTGGCATCTCCTGTTTACAGGAGGCCTGGAGAGAACTTTTTTTTTTTTATTTATTTTGACAAAGAGAGATCACAAATAGGCAGAAAGGCAGGCAGAGAGAGAGGAGGAAGCAGGCTCCCCACTGAGCAGAGAGCCTGATGTGGGGCCTGATCCCAGGACCCTAAGACCATGACCCCAGCTGAAGGTAGAGGCTTTAACCCACGGAGCCACCCAGGAGCCCCGAACTTTTTATATACTTTATAAATGTGCTCCTTGCCTCACCCAGGGCAAGCCTGACGCCTCGTTCTTGCTCTGCAGAATGTGAAAACCTGGGGTCACCAGACACTTGAGAGTGAAGACTAAGGAACAGGGGCACTGCCCCTGGGGCAGGAAGCTCAGGAAGAGAGACCCCCTCCCCCACTACTGTCCACATTTGCTGAGTCTAGGTGGCGGGCACACAGACATTCTCTGCTCTCTTCCTGTTTGCAATAGTGTATGAAGAGAAAACACCTGACTGGGCTGCCCATGGCCGTGGCTGTTGGGTAGATAGGGGTGGCGAGGGCTGGGAACCAGAGTAGCCAGGAGTGAGAGCTTATCTCTTTCTCAAGACCAAGCCCAGTCCCACCCTGTGGCCAGATTGCCAGGCCCTCCCTCCTCTCAGCCATTCTCCACTTACCCCAGGGGCCTGTCACCCAGTCATAAAGGGTGGCATACTTGTACCTGCCTTCCCGGAGTGGGTGCAGGTGGGGCTGTGGGGGGTGGGGATAAGGGTGGAGGTGGGGGGAGAGGGAGGGCCGAGGCTCACCTTCCTTCTTCATGCCAGCCCGGAAGCACTTCTTGAGCCTGCAATAACGGCACTGGTTCCTCTTGTCTTTGTCCACCACACACTGCCGACTGAACCTGGGGAGAAGCTTGGAGGGTTGGATGCGGCAGGGACAGCCCTCCTGTCCCCGGCCGAGCTAAAGCGTTGGCCAACCTGGCCTTGACTCCCAGCCTCCCTGCCTTCATCATGGGAGTCATGCTAACCATGAGTCAGGCCCCAGGACTCTCGAAGAAGCCCGCCCTGTCCAGCTGAGGCTTGGAGAGGTGACACGTAGCCCGGGATCACTCAGCCTGATGGTAGAACTGAGCTAGAAACTCTAGCCCTTCAAGGACCAGGGCACTGCACTCTCTACCACGTTCTAGGAGAGTCCAGAGCTACGGCAGCCTCCTGCTTATGGCTCAGAGTCCGTACCTGGTTGGCCAAGTGACTCTGGAGGGAGCTGTACACAGAGGCAGTGCCAAAGGGTAACCAAGGGTGGAGACCTGAGTGTCAACAGGGGTTCTGCCACTGATTCAAGATGGATGACCTTGGACAGATTCCTGGCCCTCCCCAAGCCACAGCTTCCTCATCTATAAAATGGGAAGAATCATAGCAACCATGTCAGAGGCGTGCTGACAGACGGAAATGAGAAGATATGTGGATGTGACCCGCAGTGCGTCTGCAAATGGCAACTCCTCATAGCCAAATCCTATTTATTTATTTACTTATTTATTTATATTTTTATTTATTTAACAGAGAAAGAATGCAAGCAGGGAGAGAGAGAAGCAGACTCCCCACTGAGCAGGGAGCCCGATGCGGGGCTCTATCCCAGGACCCTGGGATCATGACCTGAGCAGAAGGCAGCCACGTAACCAACTGAGTGACCCAGGTGCCTCTGAATGCTATTATTTTATTATTGTTGTTACTCCGAATGGGAGGTGTGGGGTAGGTAGAAAGGCCTGGGGCCAATCCCCTATTTGTCCCAGGAAAAGCACCAGGTTGTGGGATGGGCCCCACCCTCTGAGGCTTCAGAAGCAGCTTGGTCCCAAACCTCATGGATCCTCATTTGCTAAGCAGGAAAATAACAATGGGCTTGTAGGGCCAGTTAAATACATACAAAGACTCAGTATGTCTGGCATATAGTAAGTGCTCAGTAAAGGGCAGCTGGTAGCTTTATGACCAGTGAATGAGGTTCCTAGATGCATGTTCCCATCTGGATCCCTGAGGCCTAAGAAACCAGAGGAAGCTTTAAGGCCTCAGAAGGCAGACGTTTCTGGGACCTAGTGAGGGGGCAGACAGACTCTGGGGAACATCAGCAGCCCAAGTGTACCCACTTCCCAGCTAGAGAAATCAAGGCTCCAAGCAGGGGCTCCTCACCTGCAGGAGTACATGTGGTTCTTTCTCACGCTCCTCCGGAAGAAGCCCTTGCAACCGTCACAGCTTGAGGCACCGTAGTGCTTCCCTGTGGCCCGGTCCCCACAGATGGCACACAAGGCGCTGACGCCCAGGCTGTTGGGTGCATTGAGGTTGGCACCTTCTGATGGGGATGTGTCTGCACCAGAGGAGACAAGAGTGAGGACTCAGGAGGGGCCCTGCTCCCGTGGTGGCTTAGGTACAGAAATGAATATGAGCATTATGGGGATCTCTCCACCCCCCATCCCCGCCCCAGGCCTTCAGCCTCATCCGGACCTGGGTGCTGTTCCCATTCCCTCAATGACCTTGGGCAAGTCCCTCGGCATTTTGGAACTCCTGTTTTGCATCTGTTACTTAGGGATGGTTGTGACAATGAGTTCATAGAGTCATCTGTGAGGGTCTGCTACTCTACGGTGCAGACTACTAGACCCAGTTTTCTCTGGTAAGTAATGAAAACCTGATCACCCCCTACGATGCCTCTGACCCTTACAGACCCGACTGACTGGGCAGAGGGGACTGTGGAAGGGACAGTATGCCCCCAGCATTTGCTCAGGTCCTGTCCCTCATTTCTCAGTGAATCCAGAGGCCTCACAAACTCTCCCAGGGAACAGGAAGACATGCACCAAGGACAACGGCCCATCTGTCCTCCTGGGAGGGTCAGGGCAAGGTTCTGGGCATCTTTGAAATACCACCTGTGTCAGAGGTGAAAGCTACTGCATCTATGTAAGTCTGAGAGGGGAGATAAGAAACAGGCAGCAAAGATCTTGGACAGAGTGCTTGGGGTCCTTGGGTGCTAGTGCTGATGTCGCCACTAACAGACCTGTGACCTTGGGCAAGTCCCTTTACCTCTCTTTGAGTCCCCCTGGGCCTCAGTATCCCTAACTTTAAAAGGCAGGGGTTCAACTGTTCTGGTTTGCAATTTTTTTTTTTTTTAATTTCAGCAGCAGAACCCTCTTTGTGTAAGTAGGCCTTCCATCAAGGCTAGACCTCTTGGAGAAGATGATAGATGCCATGGACCATCTCCCCAGAAAAATGCACACATATGCATACCACACAGTCATATGCAGATGGGTTTTTGTGGATACTCCAAATCTGACCTTGACTTCCTGGGAACACCGCACTGAGAACCAGAGGGGACACTGTGCTACAGTCAAGGGCACACATGCTACAGCCCTTCTACCAAGCTTCAGTCTGAGCTGGCCTACTTCTTAGCCAGGTGATGTGGGCTGCATGGGTTCACCTCTCCGTGTCTTTGTTTCCTTGCACGGGAAACAGGATGCATAATTATCCCCTAAGACTGTAGGGGAATTCAGTGGGTTGATGTAGGTGACATGCGTGGTACATAAAAAGCACCGTATCAGGATTCGTGAGGGGAAAGCTTTCCTGCAGAATCAAATTCCCGGAGCAGAGGATGTCCAGCCTTCATGCGTAAGTGGACCCCGCCATGTCTCGTCTCTGCCATCATCCAGCTGACATCTCCTAGGTTCCTGAGGTGCCCAGAGCTCAGCCCCCTCCACTTGGTGAATTATTCCCGGAGATGGGGATAATTGTTAAGCCATGTCGGTGCCCTTTCTCCCTCAGCCTCACTTCCCTCAACCCCTGGGGAGGTTATGACCCCACAACTCCTGGCTGTTCAGGGAGCCTGGGGGGGCGGGGGATCCTCCACCCTGCGCAGAAGGGGCTGGGTGCTATTGAGTGTATCATCTCACCGCAGCCTTCGGCAGACAGGCCCCATTCTCCGGGTGAGAACACCGAGGCTCAGGGAGGACCTGTGACCTGCCCAGGGTCATCCCACTCCTGCTAAGTGGAGGAGCCCAATTTATAGTCCAGGTGTGCTGGACGACTCTGGCCCAGGCTGCCCTTGCTGGGATGTCTGTGGGGGCCTCTGGTAAGCAAAGTCCCTGCTGTTGCTGGGGCTTCCAAGTCAGGGGTGGGAGACAGATGGGACATGGAGCGCTGGAACCCCCAGCTCAGGAGGAATTAACATGTGATGCCAACACTCACACCCTTTCCAAGGCCAGTGGGGAACGCAGACCTTCTGACGGATGCCCAGTGCTCTTGAGACGACTCATGGTGGGTGAGGCCCAGCTACCAAGGCCGGGCACCACGCGCCTCATCTTACCAAATCCTCTGGTTAGCACAGGAGGCAGGTGCTAGTCTGTACCCCGTTTGACAGATGAGGAAACAGAAGCTCAGAGAGGAGGCCGGCCTGCAGAGTTCTCATAGGTAGGAAGGGTCTACGCCAGACTTTGAGCCCATATCTTTCTGGCCCCTGAGCCCGAGGCTGTGCTACTGAAGGGACACCCAGGGGTGGCCTCCACCTAGGGCACACGTGACTTAGGGAGGTGCAGGCTCTGAAGGGGTGACGGGGCTGGCCCTAGGGAGTAGTCCAGGGCTAGGCAGTGGCCAGGAGTGTGACAGCACATCATGTCCCCACGGGGTCACATGACACCCTGCCTGGTGCAGAAGCTTCTTGTTCACCATTTGCTGTGATCTTCCCTACAACTCCCTTCCACAGATGCTCCGCAGAGCTGACCGGCCCAGCAGGTGCTTCAACTGAGGTGATTAAACCCATTTTGCAGAAGACGGAGAGGCCAAACTAGGGGATATGACGTGCCCAAGGTCGCACAGTGAGCGGACGGCAGGAACAGGTGAGCAGCTGGTGAGGCCGACCATGGGCAACGCAGTCACATCTTTCTGACTAAGCCAAACTGACCACAAGCATTGCAGACCCTGGCTGAAGCCACAGAGCCACAGAAGGAGGGCAGGGGCCACGCTGGCCTTGGTCCCCTACCACACACCTTATTTGAGGCTGGCTTAGGGTCTTTCCCCTCTAGAAGCTTCCTGGCTTCCAGGCTTCCTCTCTCCCCCTACCTCCTTGGGGAGGAGAACCTCTCAACCCAGTTTCAGATGTACTCTTGGTGATGTGCAAGCAAATCTATAAACCCGGGGAGTGACACAATGCAGGCCACGACACCAACTCAGAGAGAAAGGGACGTGCGGCTCAGGGGACTCTCCTTTGGCAAATGTCAGGACCGACCCCCTGCCTATCCCGTCTCCATAACGGAGGTTACGAGAGAGTACGGATCACCCCCCAGTCCAGGAACGTGCACTAGGACAGGAGCAGGGACATACCGGGGAACAAGACAGAATGCCCGCACAGGACATACGTCCAGAAAGCACAGGGCACCCAGCCTGTGCGTGAACTTCTGCAGATACACGGACACACACACGCTGCTGCTTCCGGACAGAAGCGAGACAAGCACACAGACCTCTCGAGACACCAGCAAACACACGCAGTGATCAAATACTAATGGAAACCAAAGAACCGGCACATACAGACAAACTAACGCAAATATGCAAAAGGGTTCCCGGAGGCACACACATGTTTGCCAACATGGTTCTCCCCTCACACACGGGTGTGCAGAAACTCGCGCGTGCACACCCAGGGGAGGCCACGAGCACACCACAGCTCACACTGCTGACCAGCATCTCATTGAACAAAACTTCCCTAAGAACTCTAATTTTTCCTAAGCGGGGCGTTCACCCCAGGAAAGTCCCAAAGACACCCCGTGGAGCCTCTCCATCCAGCATCTCCAGCGACAGAGCATACCTTTCTATCTCTCTGGACCTAAGCCCAGAGGGTGCAGGAAGGGGCCTAGTCAGGCCCAACTATGGCAGCTGGGCGCCAAGGGGGAGGTCACCGTCATGTTGCCACTCCCAGTGACACACTAAGCAGAGACAGCCTTGAGGTAACAGGGAGCAGAAGGGCGAGACAAGAATACCTGGGATCTACTTTTGCTGGAGAGCTGCCCACTCGGGCCTCCCCTCACCCAGAATGCCTCTGGCCGCTGTACCTGGGCACACCTGTTTCACCTGGCGTGACACCTGTCCGGACCTCCAGGCCCAACATGCCGTTTTCTATCATTCTCCTCCCGGCGCAGCACTGAGCGCCCCAGGCCTGCTTCCGAGCCGCACACCTGGGCACACCTGCACCCACCTACCATTGCCCATGGTCAACACTTGCACATTCTCGAACTCGAGGGTGGTGTAGGCGGGATCCAGTGCGGCGCCGTAGTCAGCCATGTCCATGTCCACGAGGGTTTTGGAGAGACGCATTCTCCCCTTCCACCCCTCAGCCGCTCGCCTTGCCCAGGATGCCCACCCCGAAGGCTCCGGGCAGAGCCCCGGCCCCGGCCCTCTGCCCTCCTGCCGCCTCCTCCCAGGGGCCCCCTCTGCCTTCCTGCGTTTCAAACCTTCCTCTGGGAGGATCTGCCCGGAGTCTTGGCCTAGCCCCTGCGAAGGGGTGGAGGCTCTGCCGGGGAGGGGTGGGGGTTAATGGTTAATCAGCTCCCCCACTGGTGGGTAGGCTGGGCGGGGCGGCAGGGATTTGGCTGTTTATTGGTTTCTGGTGGACACCCAGGTGCCATTACAACAGTTGGGGCCCTAATCCCCCATACTCGGTTACGGATTTCTGTAGGACGGACACACTAGCTCGCCGGCACTCATCGGACCCCTGACTCAGCCACCCGCTCCCCCAAGCCATTATCACCCAAAGTCAGGCATTCTAGATGATAGGCCAAGACACTGACAGCTCCCCCTCCAAGATGCCCTGATTCAGTAACTTCCCAAATCATTGACTTCTACCCTCAATGCTCTGGAGGAGATAAAGCCACCTCATGGCACAGAAATAAAGACCCAAATCCCAGACACCAGACACCAATCTTTGGATCCTCCTCCTGGGAACCCCCCTCCCATGGCCCATCTCCCTGGGAAGGAGCATGGAATCACCTGGGGTTCTCCTTTCCTGATTCCCGGGACCCCCCTGTGGCTACCACCAGCCCCCACAGCAGCCAGCAGCTCAGCACCGCCCCCCCCCAATGTTCTCACCTCCTCCTACTTATTTCCCCACCCCCCTCAACAGCCGGAGGTGAGGCCTGCGGCCCCACAGACCTGGATTACACTCAGGCGCCTACCCCCTACCAGTCATGACTTTGGGTAAATGATTCTCCTCCTGGAGCCTCAGTTTCCTCCTCTGTAAAAGGCATAATTGACCTCGAAGGGTGGCCTGAGTGTTAAACGAGACGGTATCAGGCAGGTCCTATCAAGAGTCCAACCCTCCTCCCTCCACCATCCCATTTCCATCTCCCTCTTCTCTCCACCCACAGCCTCCTTCAGAGGGGCCTTCGTGGGCCTGTCACCTGAGCCGTCGCGGGAGGCCCCATACTTCAGCCCCTGTGTTTGGCTTAATGCTCTGCTATTGCTGAGATCCCTAATGATTTCTGAACAAGGTGCCCTGCAGATTCGACGGCGGGTCCTCCGGCCTTCTGCGGGCCGCCTTCCCCCTTTTCCCGTCATGCCCTCTGACCCCACGGGCCCTCGACACCAAGAGCTCCCCGCATAGCCTGGGAGGGGAGGTCACAATGCAGGAGGCAGACAGCGCAGACGAGGGCAGAAGGGCCTAGACTTGGGAGCCTGGGAGCCTGTCCTCCTCGGGCAGCTGGAGCAAGCGTGGGTGAAGGAGTGACGGCCGATGGGCACACGGCAAGGGGGTGAGTTAGTGATGGAGTGAATCAAGGAATGAGTGGGTGAATTAGTGAAAGCGTGTGTGAACCAGTGAAGGAGCAAACAGGTGGGGGGAGGGGTTCTGTGCAGGCAAATCAGTGGGCACGGGGGTGTGAGTGTGAGGGTGGGCAGCGGCAGCCTCCTCGTTCTCCCGATTATTAGAAGCCCCATCTCCGGACTGTGTCGCCTTGTTCTTCCCCTCTCCATCGTCCCCCCAGGAGCTGAGAAAGGGAAGTGATTGTCCTGGAGGAGAAGAGAGGCTGCACTTGATGTCAGGAGACCTGGGTTTAGGAGCTAGTTCTATCACTATATGTATGACTTTGTACAAATCACGTCTCTCTCGGGGCCTCCAATTCCTTACCGTAAAATGGGGAGATTTTGGCCCATTTTGTCTGTTGTACAAGACCCCCAGGGAGGGAGGAAGAGAGACCTTCCCCCAACCCCACCCCACAGTCTGTGCCTAGAAATGTGACAAAGGCCCGAAGGAGACTTCAGTGACTGGCACGTTCTTCCCATGCCCCACCCCCGACCCCGGGGATATCAGACCCCAGCTCCAGTAGCCCAGACAGAGCTAGCTGGGCAGGAGAGCTGACTGAGGGATAAACACATAGGAGGAGGAGGGACAGCCTTGGGAGGGGCCCGTGAGGGCTGACCCTGGGTCTTGCCACCTGTCTGGCACCTGGGTTAGGCCACACACACACTACTGCTTTCACAAGCCAGCCATCTGTGACCTACATGCACGGCGTCTCATCAGCTCTAAGGGGCACACTCCCCCATTACCAATGGTGGGATGTGATTATTAGCATGTCAGAGTTCACTGGTAACAAAAATAACAATTTTTCAATCTCCAGATGACATCTTCGATTGAATGAAGTAAGGTCTATGGTCCACTGGGGTGAGCCGTGGCATGCCACATCCCTGACCCGTTACACAGGAGAACCACCAGGTAGACAGTCCGCCTGTGACTGTGACAAGCTACCAAGGACACAGAGCGTGACATACACTTTACCAAACACACAACACCCATGATCCGCTGCTTATGAGTCACAGTCTAGAACCTGTGTTATATCCCGTCCACATCACGCACATCACAACCTACTCCACGTGTACATTTATCCATTCTTGAACTATAACGGCCCACATGTGAACTTGCATAATTGACCTGCTCTATTTCACCCTGAACTGATCCCAAACAGTATCTTCTAGATACACGTGCCTTATATAAACGACACACCACTGTAAGATCTACTGGCTCTGTGATCTCAAGCAGGTTATTCTTTTGAAGCCTTGATTTCTCTAGTAAATGGGACTAACTTGTAGTTTGTGGTAAAGATTAAATTAAATAATATCATAAGCGTTCTTAGACCTCCTTCCCTCTCCCCCACCCCTGCAACCACCACTTCAAGGGTAAACTACAGGCCTTGAAATCAGAGCTAGGCCAAAATCCAGGCACTGCCAACTTCCCAAAACTATGACATCATGTCCACCCCTCCCAGCCTTAGTTTTGGCATCAGATAAATGGGTTGGTACCTCCTTCGTAGGGATGGTGTGGACATTAAATGACCAAGTGTAGGCCTCTGGTGCAACAGGGACAATTATCACTGGTGGTTGATTCCTTGACCCACTAGGCAACCCTCACGATCGGTGGCAATCAGGACCCCTGCTCAGAAGAGCTCCTGGGGATGGCCTGCCTGGCCTCGAACACACCTGAGGCCTCCACACCATCAGCTCAGCACCCGCTCTCACTCTCTGCCCCACCCCGTGGCCTGTCTGAGCCCACTCGACATGCGGGGGCTCCCAGCAGACAACAGAGGACCTCAGAGCTCACTGAGAGGTCCAACTCCTTCATCTTGTAGATGGAGAGATGGAGACCTCTAGAAGGGCAGAAGGGCTTACCTGGGGCAGCCGGGGGTGGGGTGGGGTGGGGGGTGGGTAGGGGTTGCCTCAGAGCCAGCTGTGGGCAGGGCGCCCCAGCCTCCAGTCTGGACAGCGGGTAAGAGAGCCGCCACTCTGGATCAGTTCATTTTCCTTTCAAACCACCGTAATGGCTAATGTTTCTGGAGAGATTCTGTGCTAAGTACGGTGGTTAGATCCTTCCACCACTGCTCTCATTTTATCCACTCTGCTTTGCAGAGGACAAAACTAAGGCTCAGAGACAAGGAGTGACTTGCCTAAGCCCACACAGGAGGGGCTGTCATTGGAGCCCAAGTCTGACCAGAAAGCTCACAGGCTTCACTCCCTATTTACTGCCTCCCTCCGGGAATCCCAGAAAGGACACCAGAACTCTGGACTGGGGGAGCTGGAGACTCCTTCACACCACTTCTTGGAGCTCTGGGATCTGAGGGGCCAAGGAGCCTGTCCCTGGTCACATGAAAGCTCAGAGGCACCCTCCCGATAGCGGCCACCGAAGGCTGCCTGGCATCTTGGCTTCCCCTGGGCGCTTACCACCCCACTATCTCGTCTTTCCTCGCCCTACCACCGCCGCCCTCCCCCCTCCGCCGGGGAGTGGTGCAGGGAACCCAGACTTATCAAGACAAAGAACAAAAGTCGTGGGGGAAAGAAGCCAAGAGCCATCTCCACTCTGGGGTAGGGCCCTCCAGTTTTGCCCCTTTGAAATTTCAAATTCCAGTTTGTGGACAAAGTCCTAAACTTTCTCACAATATAGGTCCCCAACCACTGACCAAACTCCAGTCCAGGCAGCCAGCAGGCCCAGGGCTGGCCTGGCCCTGCTGCTTCCCTTGGTAGCACTCGAGTGCAGGGGAGGGGTCCTGGGCCAGCTGGGGTCTGCCAGGCCACTCCTGCAGACAGGGACCACCCCACCCGACAGGGACCCCTGCCTCCCATCTGAGAGGACAGCTCTCTTCCTGGAGCTGGGATCTGTCGCTTGCTGGTACCAACAGCAGATAATCAGGTAGGCCCCCTCCCTTTTTTGGGCACCTTCCCTCCCCCTTGAATTCCTAAAACACTGCCCATACCACCCTCCTCACCTGGATAAGGCCACATTGGCTTAATTCAGTCATGACCTCACAGAACTTTAAGACTGGAAAGGGGGTCTCAACCAGCCCACCCATTTGGTGGATGGAGACACTGAGGCCCCCAGGGCAGCGAGCTGCAGGTTGAACCATAGACCTCAGGCCCCTTCCTGAGCCCCACAGGGCAGAAGGGTCCTGCTCAAGGCCACACAGCAGTGGAGGGAGCTGGGTGGGGGGGGGCTCGACCTTCAAAAGAAGACCCCAAGCTCTGTGAGGAGCCCTGCCCCTCATCCCAGCCCTCAACGGCCCTGGCAGTGCCTCCTGGGGACCCTGCACGGTAAAGCGTTTGTTCCCTCAGTTGCTGATGGCCACGGGGTTGCCAGAGGAGTACTTCCGAGAGGAAGATGAGGGAGCTCGGGGCTGAAGGCCAGTGGATTTGGAAGGAAACAACATTCATGTGGTTAACTGATAACCGAGCCCCATCCTTGGGCCCCCAGAAGCCTCCTTCCTCCCTCTCCTCAGTCTGATTAAGACGAACTTACTCGCCTGCTAATCATTGCTGAGCCTGTTGATTTTGCCTTAAAAAATTAACTGGGCATGAGTTTGCGGTTTGCCTCACCCCTAACCCTGAAAAG